GGTGACTGATCATGTATATGAAAAAGTGTATGAGGGTTATGTAAACAAATGGGAAAAATATTTGTCTTGCTATTCTTCAACATATTTTGTTATTCACAGCTGAATAACAAAATTATCCTTGCACTACATATTATCTTTATCTCATGACAGGCACTGTCTTCTCTACAGGAGAATGGAGAATATGAGCTAGTTACTTACAGATACCAGCCCAGTTCAGGCTCTTAGGATCTGATCATCAGCATGAGACCTCAGGCTAAAGACAGAGAAGAGATGACATCTCCTATTCCATTCAATTTATATCTAAACACTGTTTAATAGTAAGACATTGCCATTTACCCACTCTGAATTAATTCTTATTGGGTTCTATCTTGTGGTGGGAATAGAAACAGAGTGGAAAAAGACTATATCATAACAATATTCACTGAGAAAAGTAAAGGAAAGGGTAAAGGAAAGTAAAAGAGAAAGGAAACGTCTCCGGAAAGATCTACTGTGAGATATTCGGGTTCTGGTTATGCACCATTTCCACAGATTTTTCACACAAGCCAATAATTACAGACATAAGTAATTATATTTTGTTGCAATTCATTAAACTTTTTTCCCTCTGGAAAAAATAATAATTTCACAGAAAGAAATAATTTGCACAAGATTATCATTAAATAATATTAGAAAAGACACAAAATTATTTTAAAATAGATTCCAGATAATTCAATTTAAAAGACTCTCATTAGTATTGTAGATCAATCAATGCATTTTTGTATTTACAGTGACTCATGTGTAACTTCTATCTTCTCTTCCAGAATCTGACTTGTAAGATATGTTATTGGGAATGGAATTATAGTTGCAAATTATTAAAGTTGAAAGGAAGGAAAAAAAATCAGAGGCATTAAAAAAAAAAAAAGTTTATTCCACATCATATATTTATTTTGTATAGTGACAAGAGACTGCTCAGGAGTGAATAAAAAGTTATTACATTTCAGCCTATGAAGCCCTCCAGACCTTACTTCTGTTCTCTCTTGGTTCCACTTGGTTCCTCTTGAAGCTATACCTTCCTTAAGTGGTTTTAAGTAAGACTAGCTTTAGGAAAAGCTGCCTATCAAAATTCCCATTATAAAGTCCGTTTAGAAATGGCAAAGAGCTCAACAATAAGAGAACAAAACAAAAAGCACAAATCCCACCATTCAGGATTGAGTCTCCAGAGATACAGATATTATGAATGGCTTCACTGCTATTGCGTGCAATTAAACTCCTATTTTCACAGCACTTCCACTTTCCACAACACGGCATTTCCACAACACAGAAGTGTTGTGCTCTCTATTTACCTAACCTGGAGTAATTCTTTATAGCTTGATGAAAATTTGAAATACAAATTCCAAGAAGCCATGGTCTGGACAGAGGTAGTAATTTTTCAAAGGAGAAGCATCTCCCTTGAAATCATGGAAATTTTGTCCCTCTCTCCTCCTACTTCCTTTCCTTCACTGAATAAATTCAACTTACTCTGATATCAGCTTACTGAGTAAGCCCAAGACAGTGAAATCTTATGACATCAGTCCAATTAGGTAAATGTCCAAGAGTACATCTCCTTGAATGAAAAATTAGCCCTTTAAAAAATTTTTACAGTATTCTTTGGTTTTTCAAAAACCAAACAATTCACACAGGTTTTCCATCTTTATTTTTTGTTCAGTTTCTGGAAAATGGGATATACTTTCTTTAAAACAAAAAGCAAATACAGGTAATTAACTTGCCTGAATCCTTAAGACTGTCTCTTCAAGTCATTCTAGCATGTACAGATATATCCATAAAATATGATTGATCACTATATTTCAGGTTTATATTTTAAAAAAGTAAATAAATATCATGTTATAGTTGGCTGATCAATACAAGTTTTAAATTATATAGATATTTTAATTCCAAATTTATTATGCTCTTACCTCTAAGCAAACACCTAATTTAGGCTCTATGTTTTGGATGGATAAAAATCCTATTTTAAATTTCAATAAAGACAGTGAAAGAAAATGCTCCAAACAGGTTAACTGTATTTTTTAGTTCCCGCTTTCTCTATAGCAATTCATTTATTTGGTAATTAAAAATTCACTCAACCCCTCCAAACCTCCTGAAAGGTTTTGCTTAGGTAATGAGTAGTTATTCTGCTGAACTCTCCCATTTAGCTGAGGTCCCTCTCTAGAGGAAATATCATGGTCTGTGAGATCAGGAAAGAGCTAACCAGGTACAAATTTTCCTTCATAGATGACAGTCCAAATTATTTAATCTAATATTAATATTTAAAATCCTGCTAAGCATTAACAGGTGCCTATACAAAGAGAAGCAGAGACTGTTTATCACATGAGAACATTGTACTGGGAATAAGTATGTGTTTTCTTATGAGTTAGAAAATTTTTCTCATAATTGTGTGAATCAGCCTTCATTTGGCTTCTTTTTTAAGGGGCAGCCTATACAACTAGCTTTAGCTTTTTTCTTATAGCTGCATACTACCTTCACCTTGTCAAAAACCTAGCCATTGTTCTGGCCAGTCCCCTTCATCAGTTCTTCAGTAAGCATTTCCAAGAAATTTCTATTTTTGATTGCTTCCTAGTGTTCATTTATGTTTGCTTCACATGGCACATCTTACTTAGATTATAACCTGTGACAAGATCCAACATTCTCTGTAAATTAGAATATCTTGTTTACCAACTGTCAACAGTAGGTTTTATATATCTTGGTCTAGTTAATTCTACCTTGGTGAATGAACTGCCACTCCCTCTCTATTAGTAGAAAGTCAGTGAGAAGCATAGTTCGTAGAAAAGCTGTTTTTTTCCAGGTGGTAAGTGGTAGCTTGTATCTGAATTCCAATTACACTTCTTCAATTTCCAGAACTTAGGAGAGTGTCTATCTCCTCTTCACATTTTTCTGGTTTGCTCTACCTCAATCTGTACAGAGCTGATATCAGAACATGAATAGACAGTAAATTCTCACTAAACATTCTCACTAAGTAGCAGCTTTCACCAAACATACTTGTTTCTTAAAACAAGCAAACAAAAAAGCAAACAAAAAATGAAGCCTGATGTAGAAGATTTGAAGATGTGATCTTAGTACATTTTAATTCCCTCACTCAAATTTAATGTCAAGATTTAGACAAATCAAATTTTTTCTAACAGAGGAAAAAATGCTTGAAGTAAGAGCAGCAGAAGTAAATCTCTGACAGCTTGTTTTTGATCTAATAAGTTCATGAATAATTAAATAATGTAATAATGTGTACAAGGAACAAAGTAGTATCAAAGAACCTCAAACTGTATAACATTATGATGTTTGATTTGATTTGAGGAAAAAAAACTAGCTGATCTATCTACCTCTAAAGCTAAAACTATATATAAATTGATAAACTGTATTAATTTCCAGCCCGATACAGAAATTATGTAACCTATACTAAAGTCATTAGAATGAGATAATCCTCAAGAAGTTTTCAGGAGATCATCCTTTAAAATACTCACAAATGATTCTGAATAATCTTACAAAAATCCAGCTGCTCAGATAATTTACATAATACTTTCCTATAGAGAACAAGTCCTTCTGACTCTGTCAGGATGGACATGATGGGTGGACAGTTTTCCTGTTATTTCAAGCCCATCCAATTCAAGTTTTAAAGCCTTTGATATGAGAGGGGGCTTGTGTTTATTTGGTAGATGTTAATTTGACCTTGACATCTAGATGTAAATACATTAAATAGGGATTCAGCAATAGCCAAGGCACCAGAGTTCGCATCTGCATCAACCAGAACTGTTCCCTTTGCAGACCATGGTCTCATCATGTTGTTTTATAGCATTGCCCATGCTAAAGAGTCACATTTCCTCATATGTCATCTCTCGTGTCCAGCCCATGAAACCCCTGAACATCTGACTAAGATCTGCAAAGTTGTTCATAACTTATTTAATTAAAAAAAAAAAAAAGAAGAAGAAAGAAAAGGTACAACATACATGACAGAGGTACAGACAAGAAGTTTTCCATTTCCACCTAGAAAGAGTTGTTAAATTTTCTGAGGCTATATGAGGAAGAAGAAAAGGGGACAGAGAATTTTCTTGAGATGGGTGGCTTAGAGCTTTTTTAGTTTAAGTTTTATCATTAACAGGACACATTATGTCTGAAAAAATATTTTTTTTTCCCATTTAGGATTTCTCAGAAATCTTCTTGGCCTGGAGCTATAACTGATGTAGCACTAGACTCTAAATTATCCCACCACAAACATGTCTTCCAAAATAATTACTGAAGTTCTACTGCATTACACAGTTCTTGTTTTTTACCAAATATCCTAATTTTTTTAAAAGCACAATGAGTATTTGAATTATTGCTCAAAATTTCCTAAATTGACTTAAAATAAAAGCTGATGTCTACAAAAAATTATTCCATTATTATTGCATAATTATTCCACAGAATTTGTAGGTGGGGTTTGTGGTTTTTGAAATTGTATTTTTTTTTTTACTATAAAACCCCAACACTAGCTAGTAGATAAAATTCAATTTTCACACAGAATTATAACAAAAGAACAAGCATTCATTTAATGTCTCTAGAAACATGTAAGGAGATAAACCAATATCTTGGGTATATTTTTTTTTTACTCAGTGTGAAGAGTGTATGATTCTTGAAACTAAATTATTTGGTGGAAAAAAAATGGCCAGAGGGCAAAACCCAGACTATAGAAACTCTTTTCTTTGACTAACTTTTGTGACTGCTCTAAACTGGCCACTTTTTTCCCTGACTAATCTCTAAACAGAGGACATATCCCTTTCACTTGCAAAATGCTCTCACACAAAATAAATTACCTTCCCACCACCCTGATTACTTGCCAGGGAGTACTTTATTTTTCCACTAGGAAGAAGAAAATCAGCTTGTATTTTCCTTGCTAGAGCCTTCTGCATTTTAATTCTGGACTCTGAATGAACATCAGAGAGGCTTTATGATGTTTTGCACAAAAGTGCCTGTGTTCATAGTTTTACTCAGGGCACCCAAAATAGCATGCAGTAAGCAGTGTCATACTGTGAGTTTTCAAAAGTAAAAGCAGAACTGACTTATACTGGCAGGAAGCTGTAACTCCTAGAGCTTTCTGCGGATTTGTGAAGTAAAACAGGACTTCTTATTTCTCTGCATCCCATGTTTTATGCAACTTTTGCAATATCTATTCCTTTAATCCTCTAGAAGGCCCTGAAGTTACACAGGTAAGATATGTCTCTGTTTATTATTTTTTAAAATTTATTATATTCTAAAATCAAACTTAAAACATTTATCTGGGTGCCTCTAGTGCAAAAGACACAAAAAGCAAAAACAAACCCAGGAGGCCCTCAAAATCTCTAGAAAGAGAGATCTGCTTTTGTTGTTTCTTCAGAGTCCACTGTCTAACTTCTATATCTGTGAAATTACAAATTTATAAATTGGATTTACCCGAAGAAATACTCAGTTTGCTTGTTTTGTGTTCAATCATTGTGTTCATCTGTTTTTTGCAAGACCCCCAGCTCTGACAGAATGCTTGTGATTGCTTCAGTTGCACTTATGCAAGTGATTGTCATGAATGTGTGCCTACAATTTTTGAGGGTGGCATCAAGAGTGAAAATTCTCCTGTTTTAAAGGAATTCCTTGTCTTGTTACTCTTCACTCCAGAAACAGAATTAGTATCTCTTTTTTCTTGTTTTCATTCATATTTCTGTTTCCATTTCTTTTTATAATCTCCCAGCTAGCAATTGCCAAGTCTTTCAGACCACAGAAAATGTGTGCCTACACTTTTGTCAGATCTTGAGTGTGAAATGGCAATTTCTTAACAAGTGAGTTTTACAAAGAACAGTGCATTACATACAGAGGCAAAATATTTGCATTGCATATTTCTTTTGTAACACTTCTATTAGGGCGTATAGCTACAATTTATTTTTAAACTTCAGACTCTTCAAATAGACTGTAACCAAAAAACATACAGTAAAGTATAGCCCAGAGATATTTAATAGTTGTTGATTTGTTATTGAAATACTGAGTGTCTGTCAACTTGTTCATTTCTGCAAATTATTTTGCTATGAAACTGATGGGAATTACCCACCTTTTGCATTATAATATTATTTTTTATAGACTGTTACTTTGTATCAGTTATGGTGCAAAAGTGCAAAAGCACTTCAGATAAACTACTTTTATTTTATACCTGGATGAATTTGCACTATGGTGCAAAAATTGATCTGTGGACTTAGTTTTTGGAGTTATGAAGATACATTTCAATGTTCAGCATTTTTCTGTTGGAAGTGGTGAACCAAGTACTTACATGAAATGAATATAGGGCTGTGACAGGAGCTTAGACTTTCTGCATTTTTACAGAATAAAAAATGCATCAATGAAAGAGCTAGATAACAAAAATCTATTCTTGGACTTATTTCAAGGTAATGAAGAGAGGATGAGAGAGGGCCTGCCTACAAAATACTCAAAGAAAAGTAGTTTAAATTTAAAGAACAAAGTCACAAATCTACTGTGGAAAGCCATGCATAATTAGAAGCAAAATTTAACTTCTTTTACCCAGTGTAAGGTAATTTATGCAACTATAATGCACACTTTATATTCAAAACTTAAAAATGTATAGTATCCTAAAAATGAAGTCTATATACTTTCACGTGTCAGAATGTTTTACAATTGCTGATATGAAGTAGTTTTTAGACTGTATCAGCACAATTTTATATTGAAATAAGAAAATAATATATGCTATACAGGCATATTTTAATGATGTCTGTGGTTTAAGCTATTGTTGCTTTTCATCATTGCACTTTGGTTTATTTGGTTTGATAAATTTTATGTATATATTTTGGATGAAATTTCCATTATGTTGTCTTTTCATCATATTTTCTAAAAATATAAATGGAATCCTCTTGTTTAGCTTAATCAGAAAGATTTGGCTATTTCTTAAATGAGTTTAATTTATAAGATAACTTTGCCAACAGATCTAACAATACAATAGATAACACTGATTTAAAATATTGGATATTTTTAGCTAAAAAACATTATTTTCCTTTTACTTTGTAAGTCGCAGAAAGCTTTGATTTTTACCACAGGCAGTAGAGATAGGTTCCACCACAGTTCCTTAACTTTTTTCAATTTCAACTGTGTTCCAACCCCTTTGATGCCAAAGGGAGTGAGATGTGTCACAATATTTTTCCTATCCGTCCTTCTTTATCCAATAACATATTTGTTTCTGCAAATGGATGAAACAAAGGGCCAGAGAGTGTCTATGGCCATCTCAGCTATCCTGGTTATCCACTGCAGGCCCTGCTAAGCAGACATGGTACACATCCATTGCAGAGGAAGCTGAAGTGGCTCAAGACCACATGGGACAGACCAGGGGACAAAATTCTGCTGTGGATACACACGTCAAGGTCTCTTCTCTGCATGTGCATTGCCTGCAGCACAAAAGAAATTGCAGTTGCTGCTGCTAACAAGATGTAACTGTTAACAATGTTTGCAAAAGAACATTTCTCCCAGGCTTTTTATTAGGGACACAAACATAGCAAGGACGATGGTATTAAATTAGAATCTTTCAATCTTAGGCCACTGACCTAACTGTTAAAGCAAACTTCTTCTTAGAAAACATAATTAAGGAAAGAGGGATATTTAATTAACATAAAAATATAAGGAAAAAAAGAAAGTAAAACTTAAGTAAAAGACTTTGTGTCTGCAAATACAGCATTGAAGTTAAAAATATGATACCTGAAGATTGCTAAGGCTATCTTGAGGGAGAACTCTAACACATGTACTCTGATACAATGTTAAATTTTTGGAGGGAAAACTCTTTTTTGCATTGGCATTCTATATATATTTTTTTTTTAATAACTAGGAAACAACTGCTGTTGCAACTTTAAAATTGTTCATTAAACATTAGAGGAAGCATAAGATGTCATTCAACATTTTACTTTTTACACATAATTTTGACACCTTGGAAGCCAGAAGACATCCTAGTAGTGTAAATTAAAAAATATAAGTAACAAAAGAAAAAGAGAATTGTGTGACTGAATACTATTTTTAGTATTTAATGGGATTAAAATGTAACCAGATCTGCAAAATAAGCCTACAAATTTTTTCAGTATTTTACAGATCTTTTAGACAGTGTTAAATAAAATAGAAAATCCAAGTTCTTGAAGTTTTATTTTGCTTAAAAATTTTCTGTTTAAGACTGGGTTTACAAGCATATTAAGCAATAATAGACATTATTGTTATGTTAACAAATATTTTGTATGCTCTGTGCTCATTGTCATGCAGCATAAAGAAGGTTTGAGGCTTTTCATTGTTAGCATTTGGATGGTGTCATTAAAATGATAAGTTTTCTTTAACTACCAAGATTACAAAAATGAAAAGGAACTTAAAGAGACAATGCTTGTCAAATGGTAAATACACTGGGTTACACACTCCTTTCTCGAGAACCTTTTCAGAAAGGTGAACAGGATATCGAGGGTATGTAGAGAATATCAACCTCCTGTGATTCATAAGTTTAGGTGGGATAATGTAATCTGTCAAAACTGCTTAATAAAAAAAAAAGCGAATCAAAAAGTGTTTTAATAAAGCTATATTTATTTAGCATCTCTTTAACAACTTAAAATTGTTAAATGAGATCTATACACCCCAGCAGAATTTATCAGGAAATGGAACAAAGATCTATACGTGAATTTGCTTTGAAAAGAGATTGTGTCTTCCTGGATGCAGTCACAAGTGAACATAGCTCACTCCCTAGGACTCTGCCCACTCCATGGGTAAGACTAAACCAAAATTAAAACACATATGACTCCTTGTTAAATAAATCTGTGATTCATAATTCTGTGATTTCTGGAGATTTGATACACTCTGAAAATCTCAAGAAATCTGCCAACAAACATCGTTAATAAAAATCATAACACAGCTGCTTGTAAGAATTTATATAATGCAAAATACTCTAAATATTTTCTGCATCTTTTTTGGTCACTGAAAATAGCTATACAGCACACATGCTGTTACCCATGCTCTGAGTTACATGTTGGCATCAGCCCATATGTGCAAACTAGTGGAGAAGCTCCCTAGCGCCTTGATGCATTGTCAGGTATTTTTGAGTAGATGAAAACAAACAAAATTTAGGAGCAGCCCTAACTTTTCCTGCCCTTTTGACTTACCCATTTGAAGCAATATTAAATGTGATGGTTTTTTTCTCTACATGGAGTAGATTCCTTCTCTCATTCACACTTCAGGTGAAAAACACAAAAAAGAGGTCATTGTCCATGAGCCATTATAATATGTCACACTCAGAACATCCTTTCCAGGCACTTTAGCATCCCCATGGATCCTGCAGAAAAATTCAGGAATAGAAAACAGAGGAGGGAGTGTGCCAACATAATGTAAACTGTAAACCTTCCATCTTTGCTAACAAATTAGAGAACAGTGCTGCTTTCAATTGCTGCCCAGCTTAACTTGAAACAACTGATTTCTCACTCCTCTGTGAGATGCAGATAGTCGTTGGAGAACATTAAGGGCATTGCTGGTGCTGTTTTTATGTATCAGTGTGATGTATATTGACTAGGCCAAAATTTACTCTTAACAGTAATTCCCAGTAGTAGAAGAGCTAGAATGATTTATGTTACTTTATATCTCACGAGATACTCCTGGAAAATAAAAAGATGTTTCCAGACAAATTAAGACAACAACTAGTCTTACAGAACGAAAATGTGCTAAGTGTATTGGTTTTCCCCTAACATCAAATTTAACATATAAATTGAATTGGTTTCAAATGCCAGGTCATCAGATAGTTGGCATACATGGCTATTTTCATAAAAGACTGACCCAGAAAATGTATAAATATCATTTGGAAATGTCACATAGAGATAAACCATGATGATTGCTCGGCTTTTCATATGCACTCTTTCAGGGGCATGCAAAAGTTACAAAATTAGACCCATTTTCTGATCCCTCACTTGTAATTTTCTTTACTCGATTCTTTATCTCAACTATTTTGTTAAGTGATCATATTAAGGAAAATATTTTCCACTTAAAGATTGCAGAAAAACAGAGCTTAGACTTAAAGACTGTCACAGCATAAGGCCAATTTCACAGTGTGCAGAATAAATGGGCCCAAGTACCTGAACATTTTAATCAGAGCTATATGAAATTTTATGAGTGACATTACCACTCTAGCCTGAAGTCTGGGGCAGTGGCAGTGATGCTGCCCTCCAGGAAG